TTTGACCCATAGCCATGATCTTAGAACTGCAGGGCTGGAAGGGACCCTGTGGATCATTGAGTGATCCTCTGACGGAGGCCCAGGGCAAGGGAATCGAACCCCTGACCTCAGGCTCCGCAGCAGGAGACCTAAAACGCGGAGTGATCCGAATCTTATCACTCCGAGATGGACACAGTGGAAGCCTTTTGTTAGTGGGTACCCCCTACCCCCAGTTTGCATCCACGGTATGCCAAAGGCAGGATTTCTTCCCTCTGCCTTTCACCCCTCCCTCTTCCTCTGTGCCCCCCCCTCCCTCTTCTGCTTACCCCAGTCGACAAACTTCACACTTCCATAAGGGCTTCAACACTTTCCCTAACAAGTATTTGCTGCAGCACCCTTTGTCCCCTGCTTTATAATCCATGCATTTGGCCAAAAGACCGTTTCCCCAAAAGTTCTTGACAATTCTCTCTCTCTCTCTCAAACCCACCCACCGCAGGCCTGTGTTTCGGGCTAACCTCTCTCGCACTTACTGGGCTAGCGCGGATCATCGAAGTAGCCACCCAGCCCAAGGAACAGGTCTGGTGGGCTCCAAAAAAAAAATCAGCCTAGCAAGTCTATCTATCTATCTCAGGATTATCCCAACAAACACACAAGACCTCAATCTCATGCGGGACCCAAAAAGCAGTTTTTAAAGAAGAAACCCCCGCTACAGTGTGGGATCTGATGGATTTGTTGGAAGAAGACCCCAAATCACCAACTTTACCTGATTCAAATGGTTAAATCGCTCTACCTCTGGAAGAAATGGGCGAGTTTAGAAAAAGAAAGAGCGACATGTACCGGACAAGGCCACTGCAGATAAGTTCCAGTCTATCTTTCATGCTGTTTTAACTGGGACAGCAGTGGGGAAACGTTGCTGAACATCAGCTCCAACGAGCCCCAGCCAACATGTCCAAAGAGAGAGAGAGAGAGAGAGAGAATGCTATTGAAGTCCAGCCTCCAGAGCAGTGGGAGTATCCTTTCTCCTCCAGTTTTTTTGCTATAGAAATTATTCGTATCTCAGCAATATGATTTTAATGTATTTTTTTAAAAGATCAAGGGCTTATTCTGAGATATGTGGGTGATCAACTTCACAGGGGAAACATTTCATTTGTGAAAAAATTGAGGGAGACTGGTCAGAGGGTAGATGTGACATGACCAGCAGGCAAGCTGCCCTTGGAAATGAGTAATTAATAGCTGAAATCCTGTTGTAGTACAGTCTGTTTGGTACTTGTTGCCGTTTCTCCTAATTGGAGAATGCTGGGGTGGTGGTGGAATATTTTCCATAGAATGACCAAGGGCAAAGAACTGGATAATAATCACCATGGAGACCAGATATGCACATTTTATAAAGTACTGTAGATTAAAAAGAAAACAACAAACAAAACTGAAAGGTAGACTGCAAAAAGATTCCAGCAGTCCAAGAATAAAAAATGGTGCATATGCTGATTACATATAAGAATCAAGAATCCCCCATCTCTCATTTACCGAAAGATAAATCTCTCACAATAGGTATGTTTGGGAGTCATGGGAAATTACTGTACTGGCATGGAATCAAACCCCCACCCCCTAGGATTTTTTCCCCCCTGCCTGGGAAGTGAGACAAAGAAGCCGCACTCAGTTCAGTTAATATGAATATGGGCACACTGACAATTACCTGTAAGTCAAGAAGCTAAATGCTGTATAACAAAAGCCAGGGCTCAGTTAGGGTAGCCTGTGGGCATAATAGCCAGGGCAGGAGCTTTAGATTACACACAGAGCAATACCATTGGCTTCAAAGTCACTTTGAAATCATAAACCATAGAATGAAAAGGTGTGACACATTTGCTGAATTAGTCCCAATTGCTCTTTGTTCCATCTGTTCTAGAGGAATTGCAGTTCATTTCCCACTGTGTTTGTTAGCCCTGAACCAGCCCGAGCGCTCCTCATAGGGTGAGTGTTAGAAACCAGGGGCAATCCCAGTGATCAGTTTTTTGTCCCAAAAAAGGTAAAGGTTCTCCTTGACAATTTGTCCAGTCAGGTCCGACTCTAGGCGGCGGTGCTCGTCTCCATTTCCAACCCATAGAACTAGCATTTTGTCCACAGACAATCCTCCGTGGTCACATGGCCAGCGTGACTAGCCACAGAACGCTGTTTAGCCGCTCAGAGTGGTCGATTTGACCAGATGAGCGGGGTATAAATCAAATAAATAAATAAATAACCTTCCCGTCCCTCTGAGGTGATACTTATTTATCTACTGCCATTTTTGCATTTTGCATGCTTTCAAACCGCTAGGTTGGTGGGAGCTGGGACAAGCGACGGGAGCTCACTCCATCGCATGGATTCCATCTTATGACTGCTGGTCTTCTGACCTTGCAGCAGAGGCTTCTGCAGTTTAACCCACAGCTCCACCACATCCATCTTTCCTACTTGTAGACAAAAACCTGTTAGGGAAAATTCCATGTCATGTTAGTACATGGGGGGGGGATGACATGCAGAAGCCACCTCCCTGAAGAATGAGGCCCATGAGCTGTTTCAATTGCAGAGATCACCAAACACTCATTTGGGCAACCCCTGAGCAACAACAGCACACTGTTGGCTGATCCTTCCACTCCAGAAGCACCACCAGATCACTTCTGACCAGGAGGAAGAGGATGTGCAGATCTTTGGAATTTGATCCAAGTTATTCTAAAACATCACACACACACACAGTGGATGTTTAAAGTAGGAAGCACCTTCTTCCACAGTAGGTTCCAGGAATCTGGAGGCCTGGTGCCAGAAAACCTTTGTACAACAGCCTTATATAATCCTTAGGGAAGAGCGAAGAGCTCTAATGCTCCCTGGCGCAAGCAGCCAGAATGGTCTCCAAGTGAGTCTGCAGATCATTAATATACGCATTACCAACAAGTTACAGTGGAACCTCAACTTACAAAGGTCCCAACTTATGAACCGCTTTGTTCGCAAACTTTTGCTTCAACTTGTGAACAGAGCTTGCGAACAGGGTTGTTTCTGTGCTTTTCTTCTTCTTCTTCTCTTTTTTGCAGTCCCAGCGTGGGACTTGCTGTTTTTTATTTTTGGTATTTTTTTGAAATGCTGGAACGGATTAATCCCGTTCCCATGCATTTCAATGGGAAATGGTGCTTCGACTTACAAACACCATTCCAATAGATTAAGTTCGTAAATCGAGGTACCACTGTACTAACTCAGCATAGCATATTTAGTTCTACACACACATATTTACAAATTAACCCTTAGTATCCAGGAGCTGAGACCAGTGCTGCTATCTAGAGACTGCACTGGTAACTTAAAGCAACTGATTCCTTTCATAGTAGTTTTCAGTCACATGAGAATTTGTCCCAATGTAACACAATCTATATCGTTATTTTTCATTCCATATTTTACAAAGCTGTTTATTTATTTCATTTATACCCTGCCTATCTAGTAAATTGTGACCACTCTAGGCGGCTGTTAATGAATAACAGAAATATATTAAATCTGCAGACCACTTAAGTATTATATGATCTATCCTAAAGTTTAACAGACTGATGGCAAACTGGAAAATCCAAGAAACAATAAATATACTAAGGACTGTACTGGAGCATTTATAAGATTACTCATCTAGAAGTTTCAATTTTCCCCCCTTTCAGTAATGCTTACCACTCACAACAACACAGTTCTATAACAGGGCATAAATTCACCCATTTTCCATTCTCTTGAGAACTGTAAAACTACTAGATCCCTAACTGCTTTGGAGCTCTGCTTTTCAGACTGAACGCGTGTCTTTAAGACTGATTCTTAATCACAGTGCTAGACACACTCACCTGGGGAATAGGCCCGCTGACTTCAACAGGACTTCTGCATAGACACACATGGTATTGTGTCTCAAATTCTCACTTTTTATTTTAATTTTAAACATTTAACTGTTAACATTGTTCATGCTTTCAGCTTTACAATTACTGGTAGCTTCAAAACTACTAATTTTTAAAAATGTAGATCAACTTCGTAACTAGGTACAACAATCCAGTCACACTCCTCTATGCATCTTCTCTCCTACCAACACACTACTTTCAAAAATGTTTGGGAAAAAAAACCTTTTCATCAGTGGGAAGACATTTACTATCTAAAGACAGCAAGGAAAAAGCACCACATTTAATTAAGTCTATTTATTGATGACTGACTAAATCTACCAAGTTACAGAGATGAGTAATTAATTTTTTATATGTTGATAAAATGAGCAAGTAGATCAAAAACACATCCGGACAGACATGCACAGGAAGCAGTTTCACATTTATACCATTAAAAATACAGCATGAAGAACCTGCCACCAGTCATTCTACTTTAGTAAGAAACATTCCAAGGGCAGGGCAGGGGAAGAAGTCTCGAATAACAGCATCCCTTGTATCAAGATAGGTTGGCTACAAAACAGTACTAGGTCAGCAATTCTCTGTATTGTAGCTGTGAAAAACCATTTATTCCTTAAAAGACTCAAACATTTATTTAGTATTATAATTACAGTAACTGTTTGCCACACAAGTTTATCTGTTGAAATCTAAATGTAAAAGGTCTGAATTCCTAATATGTCTGCATCCAGCGCAACATCCAATATTCCACTGTATAGTATTTTGCCACATGGTGGAGCTGTTCAACTAGCAAATCCATTCACCATTGATACCCCAAAAGCACTAATTAAGTACATTCATCATACATTTCCTTTGCTATCACTTCCATGCAGCCAATAACTGGAACACATATCCAATGGCATGTACTTCACTACAGCTGGAATTCCCTTTTTATGCACCGTTTAAGGAAGCCTGCTTTAACAAATCTAAATTATGGTATTGCTTTAAATTGAAAAGACAATTGATTCAAATAGTGAAGACTAAATATCTGGGACCATCAAAGCTTGTCCTTCACCCCCCAATATAGATTTACTGCTAGATATGAAATTAGAGCAGAATCTCCAAATTTCTTAACCTCGTCTTGCGGACTTCCATCTCCCCCTGCCTGTAAAATGAGACTTCAAAAATCAACAGGCAAACGCTTTTGAAATCAGATCAGGTCACATGTTAACAAGAGTTATTTGTTAGAAGTGCAAGCACATACAAGGAGGGAGGTGGCTCTCAACTGTTTGAACAAAACAGCAGCTGACAACTGCTGAGGTGCAAGACAAAGCTCTTATTGTAAACCAAAACAACAGGCAACAATTCTAAAGAAAATGGCCACTATGGAATAGCACTAGCCACTGGATACAGGAATATTGTTTACAGGCAGTTTCATTCAAATATTGCATTAAAATGTTCTAGCCATAGCTACGCTTGGGTTGCATATTTAGTCATGCTAATCTCAGAAACAGTCACCTGTGATAACAGCACTGTGCAGCTTTATTAAGTCACTTGGTTACAGTAATATTGTTAAGATGGACAGATTCTGAAGTGTAACAGATTCAGCATGAACATTACACTACATATTCCGTTCACAAATGTCAGAGCTGAATACAGCACTAGCCATCAATCCAGGAACAAATGCACTGGAATAGAAGAAATGCAACAAGATAGCTACACTGGAAAGACAACATTTTAGAAAAAGAGTGAACATGAAAGGGCTCCCCTCTAATTCCCCAAAGCAAGTGTACAGTTAGATCTAACTATACAGCTCTACATCAGTTTTCTAGAAACTTAACAAAAAACACTGGCCAAAACAGTCTTTGGATATTTAGACAAAGGGGAGAAAAGTCAGTTTCCAGGATGAAGTCAGTCGCTGTCGTTCTCACCAGATTCTTTGCCTCCTTCTTTGTTCTTCCGTACTTCTTCAATATGCTTGTCCTAGTAAAGCAGGAAAAAAATAATGAGACACCACCTGGCTCTTCATGAGTTTCAGTCCCACAGAAAAACGGTTCTTTTGGTGGGAACAGAACATTGACCCTGGACTGAAATAACTCCAAATTTGGAGCAGCCTCTACATTCTTGGACCTAGAGCTTCAGGATAGGATAACAATGGGAGTCAAGCAAATTTGCACTCTGTAATTTAAGTATCAAGATGCATGTTTTTCACTCCAATTGGCTAAAATAAATCTTTAATGGAGATACCTGTAGGTTTTTAAGTGCCAAGACGTGCCTCCAACTCAGTACAGTTTTCCCCTATAAACAGTCTTGACTGTTAAAAAAAAGGTTGTCCTCTAAAGAACACATTCAAAACAGCCCCTGCTATTCAGGAGGGGGCAGCAGGGGTCACAGAGTGAAAAAAATAAAGAACTATCTGCAACTACTGCACTGAATCCAGACTTAGCTCAGTAGTTTTGCTGGCACTGGAAAAGGACACAGCAGCAATTCTAGCCAATTCTTCCACCTTCAACTGCCTGAAGAACTGTTTTGGGGGGGGGGGGGGG